TTGGATAGCTGCCCCTGCTCCCTTCTCTTATTGATCTTCTGCACCGCTCCCCCCCCCCCCCCCCCCCGCCCTCCCCTACAAATCAAGAAGTTGATTCTAAAATCCGTATAGAATTGCAAAGCACCTAGAATCACAAACAACTTTGACAAAGAACAAAGTTGGAGAACTAACACTATCAGATTTCAAGCCTTACAAAGCAACAGTAAACAACACAGTATGGTAGTGACATAGAGACACAAATTCATCAAGAATTGGTCTTCTTAGATCAATCAGAATAGACCCTCATTTCCACTGATAACTGATTTTCAGCAAAGGTAACCAAGACTCTGTTTCCAAATAATAGAGTCCAATTAATCAACCGGAGAAACAAATGGTATTGAAACAACTAGATATACATCAGCAAATACCCTTTTGATTCACACATTGTACTCTATGGAGTCCTGGTGTGGCAGTGTAGGATAAGCGCTTCACTGCAAGGTTGGTGTGAACTGAAAGGTCAGTGGTTCAGAATCACCAGCTGTTCCTTGGAAACCCTATACAAGGTTGCTATGAGTTTGAATTGACTTCACAACACTTACCAACTACAATAAGCCTCCTGGTGTAGCACTGTGGGTTAATGCACCAGTCTGCAAAGTCGCTTGAACTGCAAGGTCGGTGGTTCAAGCTCACCCATTGCTCCTTGGAAAACCCTATACAGGGACGCTATGGGTCAGAATTGACTTGACGGCACTTAACAATAATAAGCCTATCAGACTTCTAGAAAACAAAGAATATTCTATAAACCTGAGTAAAACAAGTATTTATTCAACTTGATACCAAAAGCAAGTTCCATAAAAGAAAATCTTGATTAAATTGGACTTCATTAAAGTCATTAAACTTCATTAAACTTCTCTTCAAAAAACACTGCATTTAGAAACAGAAAAGATACATCGAAAATGGAGAGACTATACTTGTAAATCCTGTATCTGGTCAATGAATTGAAGCCTGTATAAAGAAATCTGAAAACTCAGTAACAAATAACCCAAGAAAAACATAGCAAAAGATTTAATTTAGCACATCAACCAAGAGCATATATGAATGACAAATAAGCACATGAAGAAATTCTTTAACATCTTTAGTCTTAAAAAAAAAAAAAAGACATTAACAAAAACCCACTGCCACCAAGTGAATTCCAACTCATAGTGACCTTATATAGGGTTTGCAAGACTGTAATTCTTTAACAGAATCAAATAGTCTCTCATTCTTCTGCTGGTGAGTTTGAACTGATGACCTTAAGATTAGCAGCCTAATGCCTAGCCCATAGTACCACCAGAGCACCTTTCTTTAGTAGTTGTTGTAAAGTGTTGAGTTGCTTCTGCCTGACTCATAGCAACCTGCATAGGGTTTCCAAAGAATAGCTGGGGGTTTGAACCACTGACCTTGTGGTGAGCAGTCTAGTGCTTATCCTTCCGTGCCATGTCAGTATTACATTGGGAAAATAAAAAGTCAAAACCACAGTCAGCTAACACTGCCCATATATTTTTTAAAAATCTACTAAAAACATAAAATTCAAGGTAAAAAGGCTTCAATTACAAACTGACCATACTAAGTAATGACAATGATGCGGAAGAACAGGACTGATCACATTATGCTGCTGTTGGAGGCAATACATATATAAATTGGTACAACCACTCTGAAAAACAATTTGGCAATTTCTTATAAAGACAAACATACATCTACCATATGACCAACTCTTCCACTTCTAGCTTTGTCTGTGGAAAATAAAAGCATATATCCAATCAAAGACTTTTATATAAATGGTCACAATAGCTTGAGTTTTAATACATAAAAACTGTAAACAACCCCAATGTCCATCAAGTAAATGGACAAACAAAATGTGATGGACATCAAAAGGAACACTAATGGATCACTAGTTCACAATTCATAGGAAGAATTATTGATGCATACAACACAATGAAGCAACTGCAAAATAACTGTACCGACCCAAAGAAGTCAGACAATAAAGAGTATGGAGACTTAATGATTCCATTTACGCACTATTCTAGAAAATGTAAAATGATGTATAGTTTCACAGAGGGCTTAAGCAGTTGCCTGTATATATATATATGGGAAGAGGGCAGGAGTGAAACCTTACAGCTAACCTTGGTGCTGATGAAATACTTGGGATCTTGTATTCATGGTTTCATGAATGTATGCCAATGTAAAAACATCAAATTATATACTTTTCTTGTATATCTTAATAAACCTGTTTTTAAAAATCATTTAATATAAGAAAATCACTTATCAGTATATTCCCTGAAATACTGCATCATAAGCTTTGAAATTTTAGTGATAAATCTGTTGCACAAAACCTCTAAGATGTAATACTACCACGTGTATGTTGCCAGCTAACATAAGAGCCAATGAGTTCTTTTCAAGCTGAATCACAGAGAATGTGTTTTCCTGATCAAAACAAATTCCTTACCCTTGCCTACAGAGTTACTATTCACTGCCTGAAACTTGGATTTCCCCTAATCTTGTTTTTCCACATAGTTCCACATAGTGAAACTTTAAAGAGTGAAACCAAAATAGAAGACCTTTCACTGCTTCAGAAATTTAAGAACAATGAGAACTTTCAGGCTGTACACAGATTTTCATTATTTACACTCACTTGAGCTGGCTTGCGGCAGGTAACACCATGAATCTCCAAGTAGCTGAAGGTTACCTCGAGCTGCAATTGAGGGAGAAAAAGATCATGAGAATGAGGACATTAAAATAATGATCAAATATGATTTGGACATCTTCTAAAGGTTATTATTAAGCATCTCTGAGTCTGTTCCAACTCACAGCAACCCTCTAAGAGTCTCTGAGGCTTTACATCTTGCACTACTAACAGAAAGCCACATCTTTCTCCTGCAGAGCAGCTGGTGGGCTTGAAACGCAGACCTTGTGGTTAGCAGTCCAGTGATTACTGTATGAAGCCAGCATGCTTCTAACCAAAGGTTGGTTTCATCTGAATTCATTCAATGAGACATGACCTTGATTTATCATAACATTGCAGAAAGCTATTAGTCCCTTTACTAACAGACTGGAAGGACATTGCATGCTTGATTTTTCCAATGTCATCCAGGGATAAAAGCAACTGCAAGGTTTTTGCTCTTCAACTGTAGTAATTTACTCACTGAGAAATGATGTATTACGTGAACCATCTATATACACTTCCTCCCCCCTTTTTTATGCCACTGTTAAGTGCCATCGAGTTGGTTCTGACTCATTGTTCTTGTTAGGTGCCATCGAGTCGGTACTGACTCATAGCGACCCTATGCACAACAGAACAAAACACTGTCCAGTCCTTGGCCAATCTCATATAATTGTTGCCATGCTTGAGCCCATTGATGCTGCCTCATAGCAACCCTATAATAGGGTTTCTGAGGAGTGGCTGGTGAGTTTGAACCACTGACCTTGTCTTTCAAACCAACCTTGTGGTCAAGTGCTTATCCTATAGTACTGTTTCTTCTTCCTAAACCTTTCTCTGTGTTACAATCAGAGCACTCACTGGAGTTGTTTAACATTCTTTCTATCAGTGTTTATAAAAATGTATGTAAATTTGGTTGGCTTTGGACAAACTAAATACATAGGCATTTCAAAGTGTGTTAAAGTAACTCACAATGAAATTAGGCAAAAATCCTCTCTATTTATTTGCATGTGGATAAATGATGAGCTCCTTTCCTTGCTATTTTACTAAGTGTCTTTTCTTTTCTTGTCATCAGCATTTCTGTTATTTAAAAACATCTCTAGTCTCTCACTGTTTGTCTATTTTTCCTAGGGGATGGCCACTGAGTTTCACAGTCTTTCATCCTACTACAGCAAATAATGGAAGAGCATGGGATTGGAGCACAGAAGGAAACTGAATTGGAACCATTGCTTGTACTCTGTGATGGTAAACCTAGAAATAGAATAAGAAGAACCTGCCTAGAACCAAACCCACAAAGGACCGAGTTCTGCCTCCAGGTATTACGCCGTACCTGGATACATTGGTAGAGTACATCTTAAGAGCGCAAACCCCTCAAGCTAAAAATCTGGCTGATGAGGACGGGAGGAATGAAAGCGTTTTACTCTCTCATTATTCACTTAGTCAACTGACAGGTTATTTGTAGAAGGCCTGTTATGGGCCAGCACTGGAAACAGACAAAGAGATGAGACATGTCCCCTGTCCTTCAAAAGTCAAATGGATCCTTCTTGTTGTATCTATTGAGTAGATTCCAACTCATGGAAATCTCATTCGTGCAGAGTAGGAACTGCTCCAGAGCGTTCACAAGGCTGTTGTTGTAACCTTTCAGAAACAGATCACCAGGTTTTTCTTTTGCGGTACCGCTGGGTAGGTTTGAACTACCCATCTTTCCCCTAGAAATCTAGCACTTAACTGCACTACCTAGGGACTCAGTGAACGTAGCACTGTTGTTGTTGAGTGCCGTCGAGTAGATTCCAAGTGTAGGGTTTCTGAGGAGCAGCTGGTGAGCTTGAATCACCAGAATCACATTTTTCAACATTTGTGTCAATGTACAACTTTAACAAGATTTGATGTTAGGTAAGTTTTGAAAGGTCACTTGAAGCAGGGAATTATTTCTAAGAAACAAAGATATCAGCTTGACTTATACATAAAAGATATTTGTTTGATGACAGGTGTGCCTGACCCAAGCCATGGTATCTTCTATAGCCTCAAAAGCATGTGACAAAGTTGGACAAAACATAAGGGAGATCGTGGAAGGATTGAAGCATTTGCATTACGGTGTTGAAGAATATTGAGGATACCATGGACTGCTAGCAGAACAAACAAGCCTGTGTGGGAAGAATGCTCCTTAAAAGCCAGGATGGTCAGACTTTCTCTCCCACACTTCAGATATGCTATAAGGAGGGACCAGTCTCTGAAAAAAAAAAAAAAAAGACATCATGCATGGTAAAGTGAAGAGTCAGTGAAAAAGAAGAAAACTCCTGAGATGAATTGGCATAGTGGCAGCAGAAATAGTCTGAAGCATTAACAATTGTGAGGATGCTTCAGGACAAGGCAGAGTTTTGTTCTGTTGTGCAGTGTCGCTATGAGTTGGAACAGACTCGACAGCATCTAACAATTGAGTTCATTTCAATTTAAAACACATGAACATACTTCCATCCCTAGCTTTTGTATGCAGTGCCAAAGTCTTCTACACTGGCTGCCCTGCCAATCACCTCTCCTATGTGAGCCACCACCTCAATGTTGGGTATTCAACTTATGTTTCTTTCAAACAAGCAATGCTTGAAATCACTTGCAAAGCAATCTGGCCACATACGCTTTTTCTCGCCCCAAACCCCACTTCCAATATTTAACAGTTGTGTGGGCCTCAACAAGATAGCAGTATCAATATTCAAAAATCTACTTTTTTTGCACTCATTTTGTTGCTATCTGAAATAACTTTGAATTGTTTAATATACTATTTAGCTGTGAGATAAACAAAAAAATTATGAACTTATTATGAGTGTGAAATAGATATACATCATCAGGGATGGGAACAGGCAACTTCAGTCACCTTAGCACAGTGAGGTCAATTCAGATGCTCATGGAGCCCATGGGTGGTACAATTAGTTAAGGTGGAGAGTTCAAGTCCACCCAGCAGTGTTTTGGAACAAAGTCTGGTAGTCTACTTTTGAAAACCCAGCCACTGAAAGCCTTGCGGAGTACAGTTCTACTCTGACATGGTGAGTACGAATCAACTCAATGGCCACCTGCTGTTTTGTTTATTGCTTTTCTTTTGCTGTGTAGAAGATGATGTACTGGGTTCATCTAGACACTGCCTGAGGAGCCAGAAAGCTTTGTGACATTTCAGCCAGGTCCTCAAGAATGGCTTCATGCTTGTCAAGCACAATAGGAGTGGGAATGGAACTGTGGGCAGAAGTAAAAGAATAAACAAAAACACAAATGCATTACCAGGAGTAAGATGAGGCAGTATAGATGGTGGTGAATCCGTCATCAGTGAGGTCTAACTTATTGGGGGGATAACTGCTGTAAGCAGGTTGGGGAACAAACCAGTGACCTTCAATAGGTGTACCAAGCGAGAAGGGGATGAGTGGCTGAGTTCTGGCTGCTATTTGTAGTGGGGAGGGGAGTCTCCAGGACATATCATTGTTGTTAAGTGCCGTCAAGTAGGTCCTGACTCCTAACAACTCTGTATAGGGTTTCTGGAGAAGCAGCTGGTGGATTTGAATTGTGGACTTTCTGATCTAGCGCCAAGAGTTCAGACACATCATGTTGCTGACGTCATCGTTGTTGTTGAACTGCTGACCTTACGGTTCAACCCAACCTTTCATTCCAGTGCATTATCTACAGCACCACATCATATCAAGGTTCAAATCAGCCACATCTCACTCAGGGCTACTTCACCAAGTCGTTGCTCTCAGTCCCTCTACCTCTGACCTTTCCCCATACCCCACTCACTGCCGTCAAGTTCATTTCAATCCACAGTGACTGTGGTGCTGTAGGATAAGCACTGGACTGTTATCCACAAGGTTGGGGATTCACACTCACCAGCTGCTCCTCAGAAACCCTATGCAGGGTCAGTATAGGTTAGAACTGACTCAGTGGCACTTAACAACAACTATAGCACAGAGGCGCACTGTCCCATAAGGTTTTCGAGGATGTAAATCTTTGGGAAGCCGACTACCTCATCTTTCTCCCGTGGAGCAGTTGGTAGATGCAAATCACCAACTTTTCGGTTAGCAGGCAAACACTGAACTCCCCCCCACCCCCAGCTCACCCGAAAGGCAGTTTAAAGAGAATCCTGGATCAGATGTGGAAGGAGAAAGACTAAGGAAGAGCCCGATAAAGACGTGGGCTACATGAAGAACTGGGAGGCATTTTTAAGAAAGAATCACAGATACTAGTGATTGAGGGCATACAAGGTCTATAGCTTTTTACCAATCACTCACTCACCCCAACCCTACTGCCTTGCAAGACAGTGTCCATTCTACAGGCCACAGAGCAAATCTAAATGCAGTGATATACTTCTCTTTCAGTTACTCTCACTAACCACCAGCAGCAATCCAAGTTGCAACCCTTCAGCAAGGTCTGTTGGGTTATTAAGTGCTGTCAAGTTGGTTCTGACTCTTTTGTTGTGAAGTGCTCCCAACATGGTGCCAGCTGATAATAATCATGTATAGTGTTTCCAAGGAACTGTTGGCAAGTTTGAACCACTGACCTTGCAGTTCAAATGGACCTTTCAGTCCACTGCTTACCCTATAGCTCTACACCAGGACTCCTGGTTCTCATAGTGACCCTGAAAAGGGTTTCTGAGGAGTGGCTGGTGGGTTTGAACCATAATCTTGTGGTTAGCAGTCCAGTGCTTATCCTACAGCCATACCGGGACTCCTAAGTCTTACCAATTTTTCCAAGCTGTTTCACCACAGCCTCCCCTCCACACCCCTCAACCCACTCCAGCAGTTCCCCAAATGCATGCTGCTCCTTCATACTCATAAGTCAGGCCCCTTATCTGCCAGGCTGATATCTGGTGATCCTTCAACCCAGCTTATCATAAACCTTTCATGATCTGATGATCACCCACCCCTAAACAGAACTGGGGCCTTCTGGGAGATTGCCACAGTCCTGTGATCGGGGTATGACTACTGAGGCATTTGAGCTGCAATTAATCACTGAGATTAAAATTGCAGTTTTGCCCCACTGGCATTCTGAAAAGCCATCTT